TATTTTTCCTTCAATTGTATTTCCAGGCAGCCCTGTTCTCAAAACAGAGTTCTATTTCCTAAGAGCTCATCTGGTCCTAGTGTTTCTCTGCCTCATAAAACACATGAGGCTAAATCCATCAGGCTGTTGATTCTTACTTAAATGAGAAGTAGCCTCTAAAATCTGCAGCATTGATCGCACAATCTATCGAACTGGGGAGAGGGATGGGAGAACAACAGCCTGCTTCTCAGAGTGGTTTGAGCGCTGTGTAATCCTGCACTCAGTGATGTCTACTAGAAAATATGTGCAGCTGTATTAATCAAGGAGCAGGCATTAATGGTGAGCAGATATCGTATGAACTGCTGTAGGCACAATCCTAGCTTATCTCCACCCAAAAATAAATAAATAAATAAATAAAAATCCTTCTAGTCGTGAATAGAAAGCTAAATATACAATGAGTAACCTAGGGGACTCTTCAATTTTCTCCTCTCTAATTTTCCAAGACATCTGTTATGTTCTCAGTCTCTTCTGCAGAGATAATACCTTGAAATATCTGGTGACTCTCTAATAAATTCCTAAGATTATTCCCTTCTCCGTAATTCCCCCAAAGGGTAACAAGCAGATAGAGCGTGAATGCTTTAACTCCCAGCAGCATCTTCTCCCAGGGCTTTTCTCCCTGTCCAGACATTTACAGTGAGCACAAAGTGACTGTCACTCAGCATGGCTGTACTCAGTGTACTCAGTTCCAGAGCCCACCAGCCTAAATATGTGAGCTGAGCACCACAATGCAGAGGTCAGGGCCCTATGGCCCAGGAACCGGTGATTTCGTTGGGAAGTTAGGAACCTCACTAGAGTATTTGGAAATAAAGAGTTATGTGGAATGGGTCTTCTGCTTAGCTGGGGATACAAAGATGCATACAATCCTATCCATCCCACCCTATTTAACTGGGACCTGGTCAAAATGCCTCTATCTAGCAACAGGAAGGACTAGAAAGTGGTTACAAACTATACAGTGAAAAGCCCTAATCTTCAAAACAAAACAAAAAACCCAAACAAACCCCCCCAAAACACACCACCTTTTTCTTTGGCACAGATAACCTTCTGGATAATAACTTTGTCTGTAAATAAGGGCTAAACCAAGTTAGAGAAATCCAGGGCCTTCTGGTCTTTCTATGTGTTGCAGTTCCTTCAACCTTTCATTATTTTTGCTGGAGGACTGGGGAGGAAGGGGGGGGGGGGGGTTTTTTTTTTTTTTTTTTTTTTTAAACCTAACTCCCTGAAATTTCAACATTTTCCTTAAAGCGCAGAGACTGCAGAGAACACTGCCAGGATCAGAACAAACATCAGATCACTGCAAACTACTTCTTTCTACCTTTTGAAGTTTATGAAAGCGCCTCACAGAATCAGAAATCTTACCTTTAATTTCTTTTAAGGAGTGTTTGAAATATTTTCTATACAGAGGTCACCTGTAGGTGCCCTTACTCAAAGCAAGTAGCATTTTAATCCCCCAACAGACCCTACTGGCTTAAAGCAAGGTGATTCTTAATTCAAGTGAATGCAATCTGGCGCATGCTAGAATATTTCTCCCCAGCAAAACTCTTGTCTAATGCATTTTTATTCAAGAACCAGTAATAAAATGAAGGGCTGATGTGGTGCTGATGTATTTCCTCATCTAAAATCTGATCAAAGTCTCATGTGGTCAAAAGATCAATATGCTTATATGTAAACCCCTCTCAATTTATACATATTTGATAGCCCATTTGAACCAAATGGCTAATCCAGGTATCAGTTTTCTATGCCCAAGACAAATGTGCCTCAATTATTTTCTGCTTGGCATCTCAAGTCTTTTGGGATGAGTTTTGTTGTAGCCAACCATAAAGCTAATCTGGAAGTAAGAAAAAATGTTCAAGAAAATTAACCAGTTTTCCTTGAAAAAAATTTCTTTTAAAAATCCTATTTTTAGGCAAACATTTTCCAGTTGCCAGCACTGGAGAGCAAGAGGCTGAGGGCAGAAGGAAAATTCCACAGGAGGCAACACACTGCATTGACCCGGGCAACATTTCAGCTCTGCCAAAGTCTTTAGAAAGCTCCTCTACTAATGCATTGGGACTGATGGCCAAGATCTATATTAGCTTTCTCACTGCTCAAGTTCCAGCCCCAGCTAGTATTAATCAGGAGGTCTGCACTGCACTAAACTTATGTTAGCTAATTCAGACAAAAGCATGAACCCCCTTTTCTATGCAACCACACCTGATCGTGGCTACATTTTGTCCTGAATACATCCCTGTTTCCACAGGCTATTAGACTGCAGAAAAGCAGAAAAACCAAAAGGGGAGGATTGGCAGTGGAGCATTTTTCATACTCAGTATATTTGCCAGCTATTTCTCCAAACTGCAAATAATCTGTTTGGACAGAATGTTTTCCAGCTAAAATGGCGAGCTTAGAAAATTCTTTGCAGTTGCATCTTTAGTTTTTAAAATAGGAGGTAGGCGGTTAATGTCTCAAATCCAATCAAATATTTTGACCTATTTTGATTGGTCAGTTTAAAAAAACCCCAAACCACAACAGTCAAGTCTGCTTGGATTTCATTCTTTCTTTCAGAGCCATCCATATAGTGAAAAGAGACATTCACAAAGGTTACGCTTATCTTCAGGGTAACTAAGCAAGCTACAGGAGAAAATTGCCCTCACTAATCACATTTTGTCATTAGAAAACCAGGATCAGTGAATGCTCAACAAAGGAAATCAACAGAAATTAGAGAGGGGATTTGAGTTTGCAACAGGGACTCTGTTGTTGTCACACAATTCCCACCCCGCCTCCATGACACTCTTGACCCAGTTGAGGTGACAGGGAAAGGAAGAAGTTTGGAGCAAAGATTTCTAATCCTTTTACAATGTCTCACAGCATCGGTTGGGAGATTTAACCTGGGCTTGGAGGATGCTACACGGTGGGCCTAGATCTTTGCTACTAAAGAAGCTGCAGCCTCTAGCTCCTGCAACCTACCTAGGAACTCCCCACTTGGAGTTCCACCATGACCACAGCTTCTCCCTTGCCTCCACATCACAAAAACCTCACCAGCACCTCCTCTCACCACACCAGTGAGCTCTGAAGCTGGCATGCTAGCCACTAGCACTAGAGGAAGAGTGTCCTAGAGAGCACAGGCTACTGTCAGTACAAATTTCCCACTGCCCTGCAGAGTACATCTACACATCGGCTGCTGACCTAGAAATACAGTTGGATCCAAAACACATGGATTAATTTTCTCTTAAAAATGTTCAAAATTTGGAAAATGTGACCAGTGCAGAGGAAGAGCTTCACAGTCAGACACCACCTCTGTCAATAGGTTAATCTTCTGCTCAGTGCCAACAATTGGATTGCACTGAGCAGACAAGCAGCAACACCACTTATCTAACATTGAGCACTATATCATCCTTACAAGGGGTTGAGCAAAGCCTAGCGAAGATACGAGGACCATCCAGCTGCATCTAACACAACCTGCAAGCCACGCATAAAACCAGCCAGCTGGGCAAACACGTGGCACCGCTCACCGTCAACGCTCCTTGCTCACTGACTTTATAGAGTATTGGGGAAATAGAATCCTTCCCTATAAGGAAGTCTTGATATGTCTGGACAAGGAATATCTCCTCTTGATGGTATGGACCCAGAAAGTGCTGACATGAATCAAACTTACTGCTTGCCCCTCCCTGCCCCTCTCCAGCCTCCTAAAAATAGCCATCATAAGATGTCTATCAAGACATGGAGCCTCCTGTCACTTTGCCCTAAGAAAGCTAAAGAACTCGCCAAGGGGAGGGACCGCTTCCTTCTGACACCTAATCCAGGCAATGCCGTCAGCACCGCCGGATAAATAAGGGGAAGAAAGGCCAGGAAAGCAGGACCACTCTCGAGACCTCTCAGCTAATCCCTCCTGCCCGTCTGCTGCTCTGCTTTTCCAACTCTCAACCATGGTGGGTCCAATGGAAAGCTAATGGTTAGCAGTGAGCCAGAGTATTTTACATAAGTAAATGGGGCTTCTCGCTCTAGCCGGGGGGGAAGGACAGTCCAGAAGACAGTTTAGGTTTGCTTGGCTTTCCTCCTTAAACCTAAAGGACTATGCGAAGTTTTCCAGTTAGCCTCAAGTTCTGCACCAGGCAACGGTAGACATGCGGCTCCTGTAGCTTCAGACAGAAGGGTTACAATTTGCTAGTGCAATGCTAAGCATTTTTTTCCAAATCGGATGCAACCTGCTAAAGTGGCAGAGGAAAATAGTAATATTTTTATATAAGAAAATATCATAGTTTAGTACTTTATAAAACAATGTACTGTCAAAAACTAATTTAAAACTTTAAGGACCTTAAGGAATTGGTTTAATTTCTATGGTAATGTCAAAAAAGCTGCTTGTTAAGCAATATTACTTCAAATGGTCTTAATAAAATGGGTCTATACTAAAACAGTAAATGACCTAATGGTACATTAACGACGTTTTTGTTAGTTAAGAGACTTCAGATTTTTGTTGCTTCTAGCCACAACCCTGGATTTCCCTGGGATGCAGATTTTAACAGAATCTTTAAAAATAGACCTGGTGATGCATTTTTACAAGGGAATTTGCTAGTTTAGGTTGCTATAGCCCAATTACATTAGGCAAGATAGATGTGAGAGCAGTCAGCTACTTTATGCTATTTGCTTTCTCTCAGTGCATTTTCAGCAGTACTAGTTCTCTTTTTTTCTCTCTTTTTCTTCCCAACTGCAGTCCTTCACTCCCGACCAAATTAATGGTAAGTGAAATAAAAGTTAAACTTTAACAGTGGGCAGGAGGGGGAACATAATGGCTACCGAATGCTACATATTCACTAGTCTTAACAGCTCTTTTGCTATCTGCATTACTTCTGCGCATCTGACAGGCCACATTTTTGCTGTTTTGGAAGATGACTCATGGATTGAGCTGGATGCTTTAGAAAACAAACAGGTTCTCCCCCAGCCCCTCCTTCCTAAGCTATTTTTTGTGATTGATTTCCTTCCAACAGATCGAGTTCTCCAAGGAGCAACAGGATGGTAAGTTACAAGAGAGCCGATGTGTTTTACATGTACGTGGGTTCAGAGAGGAGCTACAGGCTCAGAAGTTTAACCTTTACAAAAAGATAAGCTAGGAATTCAGCTGGTATAAATCACCACACTCTTGACTTCAGAGGAGCAGTGCTGACTTATGCTGAACAAGAATCTGACTGTAGATTTACATGTAATTTATCTGGGTGCTTATGTGCTGCCCAAGCTGAGAAGTTTATGCCATGGCATGAAGAGGAAATATGCTGGTGTTACCAGCTCTATCTACTGAACGTTTTTCAGTTGTGCTCCTGTACTGGCTGTTCCCAAGGATGCTGAAAACAGGTCTTGCATTTGAAAGTCATGGGGGAAATAGGCAGACGAAGGAAAACAAGAAGAGGGATTGAGCTGAAAATTTAACTTAGCTGCAGTGATATCACAATTTTACATGAACAGAAGATGCAGGAGGCGTACATGTCACTTTTGCTGGGAGGTGTTGTGGAAGGGGAGAAAGAAAGGCTGTTTTACTGTAAATACATTCATGAAGCATGGAAATAGTTAGCAAATAAGTGACTTGTGTAAACTGTTGCATATAAACACATTAGTCTGGATATGCTGCAATTCTTGAGCTTCTTGTTGTATCCTCTGCTTCACAAGCCACCAGCAAGTTCCAATTTTTTTTCCACTCTGCTAGAAAGAGCCAATTAAAAATTCTGACATGAACGAAAGTCCCCGTTAAAGCTCTGGAAATCTAAGCTGTAGTGTTTTAAATATCCTAAGAGGCGTGTCTGTGTTATATTAAATAATGTAGGTTTTAAAAGAAAAAAGTCAAAAATTCAATAGCAAATATGGTAGACTTCTCACTGTGAACAAAATATTTAGAATGACAGGTACAAGGATTTACTAGAAATCCAGAGGGAGAGGAATAGTTAGAAGCAGGTTTTAAGAGAGCCCTAAACTTTGTGAACACCAGCCTGCTCTGGGTTACACCATCAAAGCAATAGGGACAGGTATAGTGCAACAAGCGAGACTAGAAACAGGTCTCTTTTTGCAGTCCAAACACTCCTGGTCATAAAGAAAATTATTTAGACTCTTCCTCACTTTTTAATTCTAAAACTTCTACAAAAGGGTTGGGAGGGTTTATGGAGAAATGCCATCGATTCAAAGCTGCTGGCATGCATAACAAAGCAAAATATTTCTTTCACCTTCCCTACATATTTCAGATCATCCAGCTGCTGCAATGCTGTGATGACTGAACCAAGCAGCAGAGCAATTAAAAGCTACTTGAGAGAGGGAGAATTTACCAGGAACAGAGATGCCCCACCCTCAGTAACTATTTCCATCCATGCAGGCTGATGCACCAGCAGCTTGGTAGTACCCTCCTCAGAGAGGGATTTTAGACATGCTTATTCCAGCAGAGGTATAAACTAGGACTATATATATATATATATACACACACATATATATATATATATATATATATATATATAAAACCTAAAAGACAAACCCCACAGCAAAGATATATTGCAGTGAAATGAATGCCTGAAAGACCAAAATAAAATGAGGCCTTTTCTCCAAGCTGGGGAGCAGTATTCAGAACCCAGTGAACATAAAACTTTATTGGATTTACAAAACAGAAAACTCTCCTGATGGCTTTGCCAATAGCGAACTGGCATTGTTTTATACCTTGCTCTGGCTAAATGTCATTAATGCACCAGATGAAAGATCAGATCATATGGTATAAATCACTACAGCTCCATCCACCTCAGCTGCTAGAGCAGGAGCTGATATCAAGTGGGTATATTGTAAAGGGAAGCTCTACACAGGTCCAGAAGGCCTTGATTTCATACCCTGCAATAAAAGCTGTAAGGGGAGAGAGTTAGCAGTAAAGGGCTATAGGTCTCTCACATCAGACAGTAAGAGGATTAGTTTCAGATGTATTAGATTACAGCCTAGCAGGCTGACGTCCTGTATCAGCAGTTTTACTGGGTGCCAGCAACTCCTCCACTGAGGCGGTATATGGATGGCTAAAGCAAGAACCTAAACACCTCTGCATCACACGTCTCCAGCACAAGATGAATGAAGACATGATTTGAAATGTGGTTTATTACTCCTAAATCTGCACCAAGGCACAAAGAGCATTCCACCTATACACGCTGTGAAACACAAAGCCTGCCTAGCTGCTGGAAGCACACCACAGCCAAGGGAAAAACATGGTTTACATGGAGCTAAAACATAGCATCACCAGACACTGCAGTGCAGAAAAGATCAATGGCATTGTCCAAGATGTTCTTGGTTTGTGAGGTTTGAAGATAGATTTTTAGCTAGATCCTTGACTTCCCCATCCCCTTTTTTTAAAACACATTTCTTTATTCATTGCAACAAATACTCTAAAAAGCCTAAAAAACATAGTAAGATAATTAACATGGAACTTTGCAACAGAAGATGAAGACCAGCAACACAATGAAGGCAACCGTCTGTGCTGATTTTTGTAGGAGAAATGTCTGTACCCCAAGCCCTTGGTCAGCAGCAAGGGGGAAATAAGTGAATACTGACCACTTGGCAGCACTGAAAGAAGCAAAGTCTCAAAGTGTACACATTGGACATGCACTGGGATAAAGCACCACACAAGTATTACCACTGGAAAAGCTAGATATTCATGGATCTGTAAGAAGCAGGGACAGATTGCAAAGGGCAGACAAAGGAGGGAACAAACAGGACTAGAATTATCACTGTAAGGGAACTTTAAGGGAAAACAAAAGTAGAAGCATTTGAAATCCACCTTACGTTTCCCGTTAGCACTGTGTAGTTGAAAGGCTGGGACTGCAGGCAGGACCCATCTAAGCAGGCAGATGTTTTGCACTTCTAGGTATTTTGACAGAAGAGTCCCAGTCCTCTGGGTGAGATAAGGTGGAGTGGATAATAACATTTTTACCTCCTGCTGCTATGTCATGTAAAGAAACCTATTCTTTAATGGTAATATTTGTAGAAAGCTTATCTTTCCCTGTGCTTAGAATAACTATGGGGTCAATCACAAAGCTATTGAGGGCTATTAGAGCCAGGAAAGCTATGAAAAGTAGATATAAAAGATTAAAAATAGTGAAACCAAAATGTCAGAGGGGAGGAGTTTTTCTTGGGATCGTGAGCCAAAGGTTCCCCTGACTAACTTCCCCGGAGTTGGAATAAAGCCAGGAGACAACAGGCTCACATCTTTGTCAATACAACTTGTCAATAGGGAGCTGCCTGGCTCAATTTAACTGTTGCTTTTCCCTTGCAGACTTCAAGGAGGCCTTCCTCCTCTTTGACAGGACTGGTGATGCCAAGATCACCCTGAGCCAGGTTGGCGATATCATCCGGGCACTGGGGCAGAACCCTACAAATGCTGAGATCAACAAGATCCTGGGCAACCCCAGCAAAGAGGGTAAGTACCTTACAGTCTTTCAGGGGCCCTTCTTCAGGCTGCAGCACTGTAATTAGGCAACATCAATATTTACAGCAGGAGGGAGAGGAGCTTTTGTTCTGATAGGAGAGCAAAGGCAGGGGGAGGCTCTGCAGCAACAATACATGGAATTTCTCCAGTTCCTTTTGAGGAGGATGATGATGGGGAAAGAAGGAAAACCTTCTCCTTAGGCTAAGGAGAATTGTCCGTAGGGATCATTTTGGTGTTAACTTGCTGTAGGTGTAAGACGCACAAATTGCTGCTCACATTCAATCTGTGCCCCTGCCCTCGCTGAGGAGCTGCAAGTCCATTTCTAACAGCTGATACTCAGCTCTTCAGGTCCTTCCAGCTCAGGACCTTCTGCATAAACCAAGACATGCTTTGGGACTGGAAACTCACCTGTACATTTCGGCTGGCTGGGGTGGTCTGCTCAAAGCTCCTACAAACCTGGGCATGCTGAGGCATATATCGGCCATTTATTGTAGCAGCCATTTTCTATTTTTCTCCCCTCTTAGAGATAAAAGAAATAGTAAATACTGTAGTCACCTCCTCCTAACAAGGATCTAGCTGCATATGATCCCTGATTTCAGTCATGCATAACCATATTAAGATGGGCTAAATGATATCCAAACCCTCAGGCCTGGTAAAGGCAGCACTGAGGAACAATTCAGAAGACATGAGTTAAGCATTAGCACCAGCAGGAAGCAAAGAGCAGAGGACTAACACAAAAGTGAGACCATGACAGTACTTTAAGTGACTACAGCAATAACTGACAGTGATTTTTATATAGCTGGGTAGTAAAATAGTTTCTGTAAACAACTGTAGATTCAAAAGTCTCTCCCATGTTTCCATCTATTATATTTCATCACAGTCCAGATGAAGGCTGCTTTTTGCAAAGATCTGGGGGGCACAGAGGGGGGCAGGGGGCATCGGAGAAGCTTTTTATTTGGCAGCCTTGCTCAAACAAAAAACATTTGGGGAAGGCCTCACTGAGGACTGCAACTTCCAGAGCATGAGACCAAAGGGGTTAGATGCACTATGCTTGAGTCCTTAAACCTCCACACTGAACATGTTAAATTTGGACTCCACCCCCGCTGGACATTCCTGGTTTTAATTAGTTTATTCTTTTGCTAATAGTCTCTGCTACCACATCCAAGAGACCCTGAAGAGGTCAGTAACATGATCTCAGCAACTTCAGGGGCTTGTCTAAGTCTCAACGTCCCACTCTCGTTACCTTTTTCCACGGCTTGGGGTTCAAAATTTCGGTTTCAATGTATACTGTAGTCCCCCCACTCCCAAAATCCTTTCAAAGATCAACTTGTACAGCAAGTTTCATTTCTGAAAAATACAACATGCACACAAGCATATAAAATTATGTGAGAAGCGGGGTGGAGCAAGGATGTGAAAATTAACCCCCACGATAAGAAAGAATCCAGAAACCACTAAAACCTGAGGCAAAGACTAAAGGATAGAAAGAGGTGCGTAAATGAGGTGGGGAGGCTCTCCCACATTTGAGGGTGAATATCCCAAAAGAACACATGTAGCAGTATCTAGCATGTAGCAACTGGTGCTTTCTTTCCAGAGATGAATGCCAAAAAAATTACGTTTGAAGAGTTCCTGCCCATGTTGCAAGCAGCTGCTAACAACAAGGAACAGGGTACCTATGAAGACTTTGTTGAAGGTCTGCGTGTCTTTGACAAGGAAGGCAATGGCACAGTCATGGGGGCTGAACTCCGTCACGTACTGGCTACTCTGGGTAAGGGGTCATCATCTCTGTGAGCACTTCAAAAACTGCTGCCATTTGAAGGCATGAGAGAGGGAGGAAAGATATTCTAATCATGTTGGAAACGTAGGAGGCTACAAAGCCAGACAAGACTCTGGGTTTCCTAACTGGGAATTGTAAGAAAAGCGGACACAAAACATAGTAGAAAGCCCAAAGGAAAGGGTTTGGTTTATTACTTCTAAATTCAGACTAGGTATTAAAAGTGCCTGTTATTTGAGGATAGAGAGACTCATGGAGTATCTCCGAGTTGGAAGGGATGCATAAAGATTGAGCCCAACTTCTTGCTCGTCGCAGGACTACCTAAAACTAAACCATATCATTCAGACACTCCTTGAACTCTGATAGGGTTGGTGCTGCAACCACTACCCTAGGGAGCTTGTTCCAGTGACCAACCACCCTCCCAGTGAAAAACCTCTTCCTAAGGTTCAGCCTGAAGCAGCCTTCATACCATTTCCTTGTGTCTTATCACTGGTTACCAGAGAGGAGACCAGCACCTCCCTGTCCGCTGCCTCTCTTGAGGAAGTTGTCAAGAAGTTGTATGAAAAGGCTGGATGCCTCAGTGAGGTAAAACACAGGGACAAAGATAGAGGATTTGCCGCACAGTTTCTTCACTCTGTAGGAATAACTAAAATGCCTGTGTCTATACGCATGTGCAAAACTTCTAAAGAAAGTTAAAAGTAATAAAGCTCAGTTCAGTTATAGGTCTTTTTGTTACTAACTCAGAAAACAGGGAAAGCTTTTCAAAAAGCTTGTAGGGTTTAGCCTTGATTATGTGTCTGTGGAAGAATTAACCGAGCTCTCTCCACTCTCCAGGTGAGAAGATGACAGAAGAGGAAGTAGATGAACTCATGAAAGGTCAGGAAGACTCCAACGGCTGCATCAACTACGAGGGTAGGTGCAAACGTTCAACACCCTCTCACCCTACGTTTTTTCTCTCTCCCTCTCACAGAGTTTCACTGCAGTTGGCTTTTAGCTTCTCAGCCAAACCAGTCAGACAAAGCTACAGCTGAGTTAGGTTGAAAGGCTTATCCATGAAAACGACAGTTGCAGTATGCTTAGCTTATAGTCACTCTACTCAAAAGACTAGATTCAGCTGCAGCAGAGACAGCTACTTCAGTCAGCTCTAGACACTGACTTTCTGTAGAGCCGTCGTAGTGACTGGAACCAATCCTATAGCTAATGCTTAGACAAAGTGCTCTATTCATCACATATTTAGTGTTATCACACTTAAGCAGGAAGAGAATTTGGTTTGTACAGCATTAAACACTTACAACTTTCTATCACAATGTTGGGTCAAGTCTGATCAGGCATGTGTGTTTTTAATGCCAACAGCTCAGGAACAGCTATTATTTTTAAAGGTATTTCCCAAAGTAACATTTGCTGCTCCTTCTAACTAGCCTATCTGTATTTTTCCACAGCGTTTGTAAAGCATATTTTGTCTGTCTAAGTGGACTTCCCCAGATACCAAATGGTATGTTCTTCTCATTTTGCACACTTAACCTTGTCTGTTTGCTATGATTAAAGGCTTCTACGTGCCCATGGTCAGATTTAGGTTACAAAAGCAACCTGACACCATCTTCCAAATGATACAAATAGAACAAAATGAGACTGTTGTCCAAGAGCAAAGAAAACAGCACTGTGGATTCTTGGGTCTTGTTCACAGCTCTGTAACTGGTTAGAAATTGTGTTCAGTAGATTTTTCAAACACACTCAAACTGTGAAAAGAAATGCTCAGTTTATTCATGAGCATGGAAACGCTCAGGCTTAAATATCACCCTAGATCTCTGTTGTCATACAAAATTAGAGTTTAAGCTATACAAACTGACAGCCTGAGACATTTATCCTATAAGCACATAGAGAATTGTGGGGTTTTTTTTTTAAAAAAAAGAAAATCAAAGCAACACCTTCTGATAATTTGTAGATTTCTGTAAAGACAGAGTAGCCTGAATAATTGTGTGAACTACTGAGAACAGCTCTTCAAACAAAATAATAATCTGAAAAAGAGTATTCTAACAGTCATGATCAGTAGTCAAAAGAGGGCTTCAAAAGTACTAGCAGTTCTTCTACAAGCAGGGAAAAAACAAAAACCCCCACAACCTTGATACACTGCTATTTTGTCCAAAGAAAAACCCAGCAGCTGTCTTTAAAATGCAAATGTAAAATATCATAGGTCTGTGGGATTATATGAACTTAGTTACTCTAGCCCACGAAAGACACGTTCCCAACTCCTGTGTGAAACAACAAATACCTCAAAATAGAAATCAAGGGCTCAGCTTGTCATTTTGCAAGTGTTTCTTCAGCCAACATTAATTTCGAGTCCAACTCTCTCATTTCTTCCCAGAACAACTCAAATTCAGAAAGATCAGATGGCACTCAAGATTTGCCTGAAATTCTTGTCACCATCAACATGGAAACTGCACAGAACTGGATGATGTGCCTCCAACCTCATCACTTTTTACCAGTGCATCCATAGGTATCACCTCTGGGTCACTACACTTCCATTTAAAAAACCTGAACTTTCACCAAGGCAAGCTAGATGGAATAAACTGCTACTATCCAGGATCCATCCATCCCAATCATCTCTTTCCATGTTGTTTGCATTGAAACATTGTAATCTCTTGGAAAAATAAAGCATCAATAAATCCCTGTGGTCACTTTGTGGCTATAAAGTCTTTTTTTCCTCTAAAGCTGTTCAGTCCCACTCAAAGCAGCACTCAGCACTTCATTTATTTTCTCTGTATACTGTATTTCACAAAATAAAGTTTTATGGAAAAAAAATGTAGACATCTCCAGGAGGTCACTCTACTTAATCTGGATGAAAAGCGTTTTCTTTGGGGACTGGGAGAAGGAGTAATTAGGGAACTACCACCTACATGAGCACTTAAGCATTTTTGGGATAAGGAGACCTGGTAGCTGGTGTCAGAACAGCTCCCAAGGTGGCACCTGCCCTGGCACACCAGGCAAGACCCAAAACCAGCTAGGGTGGCCCTGCTGCGAGTTGTGGGGGCAGGCAGAGCCATTCTTCCCAGCAAAATCTCCTCTGTAATGCTTCAACAGCAGGTCCACAACACTATCAGGAAGGGACCCTAGCTACTGCATGTATTTATAGCTTAATGGACAACTAGAAAAAGCAATCAGAAATATCAGCCACCCTGAAAGGCTCTGTATCTGGGACCTGCCCCTGGGGCAGTCATTCCCTGGGTCATGCCATGAGGAGTCCAATTAGCTCTTCTGTGGGAATAGCCATTGCTCGGGGAAGTATTGTTTCCTGTACATCTCTGCCCTTAAATGTAGCTCCTCTCTCTTCTCCTTAAGCATTCATGAAACTGCCTTAATCCCCAACTGAGTGTCAGCTTGTTCTATTAAAATCCGACTTCGCCTTATTAAGTTACTATGCACGAAATGCCCGTAATTCAAGTGCCAACAGGTGCAGCAGGGCACAGCGGGGGCGGCTGGCACCAGAATAAACTGCAGCCGTTGAAAGAACAGCTGCCCCTTTTCTGAGGCTTCCCCAAAAAAATCTCCCATTTAAACCCTCACCATGCTGGTAGACAAGGCCAAATGAATCTCTGAATTATACCCTGACTTATGCCAGCAGGTAGTTTACAAGGGGTTGCGGTAGCTACCCGCACAATGGGAAAAACCCTTGAGAGAAGGAAGAAAAAAAAAAAGGAAGTTGTTATTTAACCTTATCTTAAAAAGGCAACAAAAAAAGTGTGAGATGCATTAAAGCAAGTTATTTATAGGGACTCAGCCCAAAGGGCATTTCACAAGGGACTGTTAGACACCTTACTGTTCCTCAACATACTGCCTATACACACATGCTCCATGTGGTTCCTCTTCCAAGAAACAGTGGATCTCAGTTGCTGGGAAAGCAAACAAACAAAAACCAAAACAACATTTCACCATATAGGCTGTCAACCTCCTTTTTACACTGCCCTGTCACACTGCCTTGACATGTGGTCACAGAACCAGCCTAGTCCAAGGCTGGACACAGCCCTAAAGGGAAGACTGAAATTTCCATCATATTTTCCTTTCTGAAATCACAAGTTTTATTAATTTTTAAAATATTTGGAGCACAAGCCCAGATGACTAACAAAATGGGATGACTTCTCATCAGTGCAGAAGTAGAGAGATTTTTAAGCCACCCATTGTTAAAAATGCACATCCATAGTTTTGTTTAAAACAAAATGCCAGATTATGAGACATAGCCAGCCTGACAGTATTTCTCTGAACTCTAATTGCAAGGAACCAACATAGCATTACCTAGACTACTCTCACTCCTCAAAAATTAAAGCAGAAATAATTTTTATAGACAAAACAGAAGAAAACAAAGAGAATACTCCTTTCCCGTTAAACTGAGTCTCAAAGTATTTCATAGAGCTGCACAGGGAATCGATTTTATGCTATGCAAAGGTTGTAGTAATTTTAAAAAATCCCTACCCCATAAATAATTTTTAAAATAATTTTTAGAAATACCCACAAATGTTCACGTTCTTATAAGACCAAAACATTCTGGGGTGATCTTAAATAATTCAGCCATTTATAAAGAATGGAGAACTCCTTATATACCAGCCTCTTTCAGCTAGTGTCAGCTTCAACATAAACAATTTTTTTGTTTTATTATTTATTTTCAGAATGTAGAAACAAGATATTTTGGAAATTTAATGACATTGGGTTTTTTTAATTGAGAAACACACCAAACCCTCTCTTACAGTCAGCTTTAATTTCATCAATAAATCCCACCCAAATGACACCCAACCCAAAAGCACAGTTTGCAAATGCCTAAACAGCTCTGGTGCCTCATCTGTAGGAGAGCACGGAAGCCTCTTACTTTGCCTTAAAACCATATAAAGGTTGAACTTGATTCAACCTACTGCCTCCATACTAGGAAGACAAGCATCGCTCAGAGCTCTGATCCTGGGGAATGCTCCTCAAAAAAGGCTGCTTCCTCTTATATTTTTTGTTCACCTAAGGAAAGAAATACTCCGCATAAGAAGTACCACTGCACTCCCATACAGCACATGATGCACCATGACTGAGCTCCTCCTTTACCTGCAGAGAGAGACTGAAGACCCCGGCAGCTGGGGAAGGCTGCCCTGCATCTGCTCAGGCTCTTAATGGAAAAAGCAATTCTCAGTCCGTCATCCGACACCTCTCGCCATCATTACATTTGCTTTGTATTTTAAATAGAACATTGTTAATGAACATACTTTCCATTACCCAATGCAACTGACAGTTTAACTAATCAGGAACAAGGCTAAATCCCTAGAGAAAGGTCAAGCTGCAAATCACTGGTCCTTGCTATGCAGCACTAGACACAGCGACCAGCACCGTGGAGCAGGCACCCTACAAAACCAAGGCAGAAAGCTCAGAACAATTGAGGAGAGGTGGTCACCAAGCCCAAGAACGTAATTCTGCTCTTGACACAGGCTGCATTGATTGAGAGCAGGCTACCACCACACATATGAGCAAAGACACCTCCACAGCTGTTTCTGCCAGGCCAGGAATAGCTGAGAAGCCCTTCTAAGAGGGGGACTTGTATGCACTGAGCGGGATGGATTTCAGTCAGCAGGGAATGGCAAGAGGAGCAGCGCCTCTCTGTCTAGCACCACTCGAGGGTCCAGATCCTTGGCTAGGAAAAGGCAGAGGCTGTTTTGTACTACTCATGGTGCTTTGCTTTGGAGGTATGCCAGGCCCAAATGGGCTTGCGTGGCTATCCACACTATCAATGCCTGCCAAAGAGACCGTCAGGCATAGCCTCCTGTCCCCATTGCCCCACTCGTATCACAGGTGCTTTCCTCTTACATGCAGGAATCGAGTGTCAAAAACATGGACACCGAGCTCTTAAAATGAAGGACGTATTTTAGCATTCCATCAATGTTCTCCCTAGTCTTGGACTAGAATTTAATTTATTTTAGAAGAACGGTCTCCAGACATTGGTTGGTGCAGTTCTGTGGGGAAACAGAGACCAGATGGACAGAAAGGGGCATTTATCCAGGGCATCAAAGCACAGCAGACAGGAGTGCCTGATGTGTCAGGAGTTATTTACTGGTCTTACAGCACCTGAGCATTGCACACAGCACGCTCCACCCACTGCTCCAAGCTCATTTGGGCAAAGGTTGTTCAGACATGTCTCCTCACAACCCTCTCTGTGTAGCTTTCTTTTCTCGCTCCCAGGAGCTGCTAGACACTGGTCATTTCTCCCTCTCACCTACAGACTAAGAAACCAAGTAAGCACAACAGCAGCTATGTCACTCTTCCCTAGAGCAAGAAGGAATAGAAAGTGCACTAATTGACCCTAACCCTTCAGGAGCCAGCGTATATCATATACTCACTGCTGCCTCACAGCATCAACCCAAGGCTCTGAAGATTTGCCATCTATTTGGAGACATTTCCATCACTTTTACATGACAGCAACATATGTGATTATTTCCTATTACTGAG